AAGAAAACACATCAAACGTGAGAGTGTTGCAGCTTCTATTGTTACAGATTTACAGTTTAATAGTAAGATACTGTTGCAAACCTGGAAGAATTACACCTGTATATTTGCAGAGAGAAGTCCCTGGATAGCTTCAACACTGCAGAAGTTAGGACCGAAGGAAGCAAGGAGAGGAGTGGTTTTGAAGTTAGGGCTCAGGTAGTGCAGAGTATTGCAATTCACTGCTTCGAGATTTATCTCTGTGCTCTGCAACTGGATTAAAGTGGGATGTTTGGCAAGTCTCTGAACATGGCATCATGCTTCACATGGCTGTTGGAAGGATGTCTAAAAATGCCAGTGAAATAATCATGTATGTGTGGGACAACAGGGCTGAAATTGGTTAACACTGTACAAATAGATTCTTCATCCTTAGTGTTTTGAAATCAACAACTGGTTTTCCTGTGACATCACTGTGTATATCAAAGCTCTAATAGGTAAATAATGAAGAGTTGGAATGAAAGGCATGCAAGTTGAAATGCAAAGCAACTTCTGCAAAGAGATGATGTAAACCAGAGGGTGAAAGAATACAGCATTTGCATATGTGACAAATATTCCCTGTTGGTTCAAGAATAGGTACTTTTTTTTTTTATTAAATACAATATTGGAGATGTGTCATCTTTAATCCATTTCTGTCAAGATCAGTTGTCAGACAGAGTGAAATTTCTTTCCAAAAAGACACAGCTGCTAATCCCTAAAAGCACACTGCAGCCACATTCTAGTCCTTCCAGCTGTCTAATCAATGTTTCCTTCTGCAAGGATGCCCTTGAACCTTAGAAATGGCCTCATATTATCAATAGAAAACACAAAAAAGTACCTTTTTTTTCTATTCTTGTCTTGAGGAGAGAGACACCTTTTCAAATATTTGTTTGTTTTGTAACTTAGTGTCACAGTGTTTCACCAGTTAACTGAAAAGACATCAACTTTTCAGTATGAATAAGAGGAAAAGAATGTTTGATGTGGTCTGTTTTCTTTGGAGCCTGTCCTGTGGTGCTTTAAAAGAGCCCCCACATGGTGAAACCTGTAATTTTAAAACAAAAGCCTTCCTTACTGAGTATGGCCAGGTACTTGGAACAATAAAAGGGATCACTGGTAGAGCTATGTTACTTTTTTCACAGGAATAATACTGTGTATTAGGAGGAAGCTGGCTAACAATCAGATTTCTTTGACAAAAGATGTAAAGTTTGCTTTTTTAAATAAGGAATTCATTAGTATCATTGAATAGTCTTATATTTCTTTTATCTATAAATGATTTCCTCTTACTCGGTTCCTCAGTCTTCAAAGGCTTTAGAAGTTAGATAAAAGCAGGTACATGTTAGAAGCCTGGATATTGTGGAGGTGCTAATATGTGGTAAATTTTTTTTTAATCTAAGCACACATATTTCAGGACCTGTTAACTTTTCTTTTACTTTAGTAAAGAGGTTTTAGATTGACTATTACATTGCAAAAAAATTCAGTGCAGATTATTTCAGTCACGCAGTGACTGATGCTCCTCACCTAGACAACTGCTTATCCAGTCAGCCAGGATGGACAAGGGAATGCTTTTTCAGATGTCCTCACATGGCAGAGCCAGGTGAGAGCCATTCTCTGCTGTGATAGACAAATAAAGAACCAAACACCAGGACCGTGATAAAGGCCCAGGACAGTTTGGCTCTTGGTTCTGATACCTGCAGAAAGAGTTGTATGTTTAAGTTACATACAATACAGCTGAAGATGTGCAGAGATCATTAAAATAAACATTATTCCATGATGTTGAACATGTGTGATGTGAAAATTGCCTTTAATCATAGCTACACAGCAGCCTTTATACACTCACCTATGATAAACCTGGCTTTCCATAATAAAATATTATTATGAATATGAAAATATAATCTGTGTGCAAAGACAGCACAACACTTCATTTATATTTATCTGTGGAACAATGGAACAGGCATACAGTGCGTTTCTCTAAAAGCTTTCATGAATGTTAATGACAGGGAATATCGCTTGAAGACAAAACTTGTTCCTAGGAAAATATGGAAATGGGAAACCAATAAAACATCATGTGGAAAGTATTAGCTTGCTGGAAAACTCTTTATGGTTTGAATCAATTTTTAGTTCAGCAGCACTTGTTAAAACTATAAATAGATAAATAGTCTCTTGCTTTCCTATAGCTTTCTTCCTCTTACAGTGTGCTTTAGAAGTCTTCACATTCAGTGATTTTTATTTTATTATATTTAGCTGTCAGTGCAGGCTCTCTTTCAGAGAACTACTTTGATATCAGGCTGCTTTATCTCCGTTCCTATTGTGATAAAAGCCAATTTAGAGTCACTTTCTTCATACAAAACAATGGAAAGTACAAGATATTTTGATGGTAATAGCATCTTTAAAAAGGGATGACCATCTGCCTTTATTCACTTCTGCTTTCAGTGTCCTTTTGAGCTCTACTTTCCCTATGGAAAGATGAAATCAATGAGATCATTTTCAGTTCTGTCAGCTGCGAAGATGTGGTAACCATCTTATAAGACAAGCATATGGCTGGGTCTTAAGGGCTTTTTCAAGCTGCGGATCCAAATATAGGCTGCCAAGTTGTGTATAGGAGCATCTGCCACTTAGGTTCCCCATCACAACGCCTCCCCACACCACCAGGAAGCCTGAGCTGGTGCCTGCTCTTTTCCATGTTGACATTTTATGGCAAGAGCAGGGCACAGAAATGCAGAGCTGCGTATCTGAAGGCTTAACTTTAGGCTCCTGAATTTTAAAGTCTTGAGAGTACTTTGGGAAAGATGAAACTTGCCCATCTAGAGGATCACGGCAGAAACCCAGTTGCAAGCTTCAGGGTGAACACAGAGGGAATTCAATGCTAAGCAGTCTCTCCAGGTAGACCAGGGAGCAATTACTTTGACACACACTTTGAGCCCACAGGTCAAGCAATGCTGTTTGCACAGTCCTTGTTGGGCAAGTCAGGAAGGACCTATTAGTACTTCATCTGATTTACTTTTACGCAGTCCCTGCCACAAATGTTATCTAGTAGGCCCAATGTCTCTGTATCTAGCTTTATTTGTGGTGTCTTGGCTTAGATGGCTTAGCTTCTGAGGAGCGTTGAGCAGGAATTGCCGCTATACATGGGGGCCTAACTGTGCCAGTGACTGCATCGGCTCCTCACATCGAACCAGAATGTGACTCCAACTTCAGCCACTTGATTTTTCTGCTGTACAGTGCTTCTGCCTCCTGCCTTTTGTGACAAATGCCATAATTTGCCTCTGCAAGCTGTTGGGAAAGCTTTAGTACTGACCAAAGCCACGGGACAGCTCAGTCTGGGCCTGGAGGCAAAGGCAAGGGGATGGCATGACAGGGAGCAGATTCACTGCCCTGCAGTCTGTTACCTTTCCAGATGCAAAAACTGAGGAAAATGGCATCAGAAAGGAATCTAGCTCAAAGGGACAAATTGTTTTTTGTTGCAAGTAGTGTATTTCATTGCCTTTATGGAGAAGCAGGATTGCAAAACGCAATTCACATCGTCCTTATTTTTTTCCCTTTTCTGTGGACACCAGTGCATCCAATGCATTGGAATGGTGACAACCATAGCAATGCCTGTGAAGTGGCTCCATATTAAGAGTGGCCAAAGTGGGGAGCAACTCCCAGAGCCGCATCTTATGTTTCGTATTGGAGGCTGACTCCTCTTTGACCTTCAAACATGATGACATTCTGGTAGTGGTGTGGTCTTGCCCATGCCTTCCTTCTACTGATGGCTCTGAAAAAGTTAGGTCTGTGCTTAAGCAAAAATATTGCCAAAGGAATTTGCAGTTAACCATTTACTTCCTCATCAGCCTCTAATGCAAGAAATACCAGTATATTGAGAGCTCAATAAGGCATTTTTTTCCCTAGGTAATTAGAACAGTCATGACAAACTTTCCCATGAAAATGTCTGTGTGGAGACAATTGTTCGGGTTCAAAAGGTGCATGACACTCGTGGCTAAAATCACTGTCAATCACAACTTTATTATATAGTGATATTTACTTTTTGTCTGGGGGTTTTTGTTTGCTTGGGGCTTTTTTGTGTTTGTTGGGTTTGTTTTGGGGTTTTATTTCCAAAAGCAAGACCCCCAAAATGCTTATCAAAACAAATACTGACCATTTTTATATACTTTTTGTTCTAAACCAAAACATGTCCCCCATGCCAGGAAGTTAACTTAGCTGTTCTAATCAAATGGATCTTGCCCTGAAAATCAGAGAGGGCAGAGTAGTACAGGAAAATCTGTGAATGTGCAGGAAGTTGAACTTGTTGCTATTTGTGAAGCGATTTAACACTGTTCAGAGCAATTTTATCTGGTCAACACCCCACTGGTGAATCTCAAAATATCTGCCGTGTTTATCTGAGAGTCTTCTGTAGCATATTTTCATTTGTTCTTACCTAGTGTTTGCTCTTACCCCCATTTTAAAACTTCAGTCATTTACTACCAGAGCCAAAACTGTTCCCCCCCCTACCCACCATGTACTGAACAACCAACTAATAAGCAGGGAGGTAAACAATTCCTGAAGTATTTCCTATGCCTAAGATAACTGTTGGATAGGACCCACGCTCCTAGCAATTGGAATCACTCTGAAACATGCTTTGAACAGACTTAAAGCTGCTGCTAGTATAATCAAGAGATTAATAGTTAAGTCAGTCATTTTTGCAAGTTACCCTCCCACATGAACTATTCTAAACTTGAAGACTGCTAAAGTGAGACATTTAATAAACATGAAATTAAAACAATCCCAGTAGCTGGATTAAAGAAATAGACAACTGTCTTGACTCTCACATCTAACACTGGCTGGAAAAAAATGGGTTTCAAAACTATTGTTGTTAGGTATAAGTGACTAAAGAGTACAGAAAATAATTTTTAAAAACTATGTCTTTATGAGCACTCTGAGTTAGAGAACTGGATGTTCACTGTGACTCAGGTTTCCCATTGAGAGGAATAAAAATTCTAGGTGTTCACAGGTTACAAGTTAAAAAAAGTGATTTATTTACATTACCAAGATGAAATTGAGTTACAGTAGCTAATAGGATAAGTGTTGCTAGTTAGACATTAGAAGAGGGATACGAACCCAATTTACTGGGCAAATTAATTTTGCTCAAACACTTGAGTGGGCACAAAGATAATAGCGCCTTTAGGAGACAAACTGCCTGCCTTGCTTGTGTACTCCAGTGTTTTTCTAATGATTAAATTTCTTTAGGCAAGCTTTTTCACCAGCCTAAGGAAACCAAAAGACATTGATAAATGTGCAACAGAAATAGAATGAAAAGAGGACTTAATGCCCTATCTCTCCATATCTTAATATTTGCTGAAGCAGTTCTGGTTCTTTTGCCCTCTGTAATTAAAATTGCGCTTCTGGATGCCACTGATTTGCAAATGTAGATAGGGGTTTCAGGACCTGAATAAAAAGCCCCTTTAAAAAATAATGTCCTGGAAAGCAAAGTAGCACATAAAGACTGATCACACTGAAGGGGAGCTGAAGCCTTTCAGCAGTGTTCGAGACAGTTTAGATATGGACTGAAATGCATTTGGCAGAATCCCTTTCCCTTTCGATAACGAGCTGTACTCTGGTTCACCTCACACCCAAGGATTTCACAGTGCTTGATAGGAGTAAGGTGAATGGTGTCTGGATGCAGTCAGTCACTGAACAAAGGGATCTTAACATGCTTGTTAGTCCAGAAAGTCTTCTGCTATTCCCAGAAATGTTTAATGTGAGAAAGGGGATGGACTTAAATGATATACCCAAGATCATGCTGCAAATTAGTAGCAAGATGGGAAGCACCTCACAAACAGTTCCCTTCTGGGACTATGAGGCTGACCTGCCTACCTGAAAATAAAAGAAAGCCAGACTTCTTTGCAGTGATCAGTTTAAGCCAATTTGTATTGAACAATTTTCTATGAGATTAATTTTTTTTAAAAAAAAAAAAAAAAAAAAAAAAAAAAAAGAAAGAAAAATCTTGTAAAGCTAGACTAAACTGTGGTTAACAGCATAGCGGTCATTCTTTGATGTGATGCTTTAGAGGAGCTGAGGCAGAACATGCTGCTTCTGTGCAGTTTAATAAAAATAAGCCTGTGAAACGTCTTCCAATGCAAAAATCCAAGACTCTCATTAACATCTAATACTGAGCCTTAAAATCACCAGACCTGAATACATGTAGATGAGCTGTATTCGTTAATTTTAACAGCATCTGTGCTCATTTACACCAGCTAAATATCTAGCCTAGCATTCAATATAAGCAATTTTCTTGTCCCTTCCCAATTAGCTCCATTACAGAAAATCTAATTAAATCATATCTTTTAGCAGGAACCAAGAATTCAAGAACTACATTTTTTCACTTAATTAAAAGCTCCTCATCTTGAACTGTTAATTTTCTGAAAAAGATATCCAGTAGTTATTCTTCTGATTTGGTTACTGAATGAAATGGCTCATTTACTCTGAGTTAGCTCTTGAACCATACACTTAGGCTCCAACTCTTGTGAAGAGCTTAGAAGATGATAGGAATCATAGCTGCTTTTCTCCGCACCTCTGGATAAAATCTCTTCAGGTACAGCTTGTGTTTCTTTTGGGCCCAGAGAGACATCTGGATGACCATCAGGAAAGCAAAAATGCCAACTACCAAGGAAAAAGAGGAAAAAAAAAGAAGATCATGTGTCTTTCAGTGTCTGTTTAGGTGAATACATGAGGGTTTATGGAAAAGTCTGCAGTCTCTTCTGTGGTCAAAGACAAGTTAACTCTGTCCTTGCCCTCAGCCTTGCAGTTGCTGATATACCACAGCCTGAGGCTCAGCCTCCACACCAGAATTCACACAAATGATGTTCACATCTGTTAGACACACCCTGTATCACCTGTATCACCATAAATCACAAGGCCTCCCTGGGTACGGTGCTGTCTCAACACAGAATTACCCGTGGCATCTCTCAACTATTTTTCTGGTTTGCTTTCGACTTATAACATTTCTTTGTTCTTACTTCTGGCTCCCAACCATAACAGGGAGATGTGCTGTACCTTCCTTTTGCATGGAAGGAGAGCTTGGCCCCGGAGCAAGTAGGCAGTAGGTGCACGAACAGATGTAGCTGCCTGGCAGCAAGGTCTCACAAAGCCTAACAACTGTAGATGCCCAGGCCACTGCTGTAGCTGTCAGGAGCCAGTAAGAGGTCTCTCGAGTACCTTTCCCTTCAGACTGAGTGGCACCAAATGATTTTAGAGGTGCTTTTTGCAAATTCGTTACCCTTTCTCCTTTAAAATGAGCTGGTGGGTCAGAAACATTCATTTGGCATTTGGTCAAGTTACGTTTGGGACTGTTACAGCAAGGATGAATGTGCTGCATATGCTGCTGCTCCCTCATCTTGTAAATGCAGCCCTACAATGTCCCCAAACTTTCAGGTCATCTCCATTCCAGACCCTAAAGCACAAAAATCTTGTATCTTATCACACAAAATCAAAGGTTAAATTTTTGCATGATGCAGTTTAATTCACTTTTGAAATTCCTTTCATTTGTAAACCACATGGGGCTACTTTTTGCAAGGAGCTTTTATAGATTTCTATTTTGGAATGGAAAAATAATTAAAAAGTGAATGTTCTGGAGAGCTCAGTCCCAGGGACCATATTTGTATGGGTATTTAGGTCTCTAAGGATGCAGGAAAGTACTGAGCAAGAGTTGCAAATGCTACTAAGCAGGATGCTGTTATGAGCTGGTTGCCTGATATAAGCAAATAGGGAAATGCTACCAGGAACATGCATGTCTTTCCTCTCTTGAAATACTAAGTACATCTGGTTTCCTCTCCCTATTAGAAGCACTATTCCAGGTTTACAATGGAAAGAAATTTTCCTATATCAAAATGATTGACTGTAAATTAATACAGACTTTTTTTTTTTTCTTCTAAATTTCAGAGTCTGTTTTCACTATGGAAACAGAAGAAACAATATCTCACAAAAAGCAGAGAGCTGGTTTTGATCAAAAGAAGGTGTTGCAGTAGTGTTCACACTCTCCGCAGCTTTATGAGGGTAGCACTTTGGAGGTTTATACAGTCATGTTACAAGGGGGATTTGATGGCAATATTTCATGGGCCATAAATTTTTTGGCAAATTTTAGATTTCCAGAATTCACTTCCCCTAACAACAATTTAGAGGCTATCTTCATTGTGTTTCAAACTTACCTGGCAGTGTTTGTGTCATCACTGTGAAACTAATCCAAGATCCAACCTGTTGCAAAGAAAAAGGCACCATTAATTGTAAAGCAAAAGGGCAAGTTTTCAAATGCTCTCCCTGGAAGAAGATGGGAGAGGAAAAGTAGATAGAAAGGATCCCCTCAGTGTGCTGGATGGGGAGAAGAGATGGGTGGTAAATCCTTGGATCACTGGGGATTCTGTAGTAGAGCAGAATATACACAAGAGACATGATATTGATGTGAGGGAAGACAAGAGTCTGGTGGAGAAACATTTGTGTGAGCAAGGAGACTCTGACATACAGAACATAATGACTGACACACAGAGGGACTGCACAGAGGAGTTGCAGATTTTCTGCAGGCAAATGCTGAAACACCGTAAGCACTTGCTCTTTACATATAAGCATAAGAAAGTCATGTACCTCATACGTATAGTTGGGACAGGATACCAGCAGGAAGAGCCACGTGAAGGGGTTGTATGTTGGACTTGGAAAACAGGTTTTACTTCCTTCATGAAAGAAAAAAAAAAAAAAAAAAAAAAAAGAAAAAAAAGAAAAAAAAGAAAAAAAAAAAAGGAAAAAAAAAACCAAACAGACAAAACCAGTTTCAATACAGGGAGGGGAACTGAACCTTATCACAACTTGCCTGTGTAACAGCCATCCCCTTGACCAATGCTCCCAGAGTAAAACTTGTTAGGAAAGTTTCAATGAAATCTTTTGAGACAGCAAAAACTGTATTTATCCTAGTGAGAATGCTGTTTAGCGAGCCATCTATCGGTTTTTACAGGAAGGTCTGGCATGTCCAAAGGATGCAACCTTTGTTCAGAGGAAGAGAGAGACAAATAGTTTAATGTGGATTAGCCAGCAGGCAAGGGCTAAGGGCGCTCTTCTGGGATATAAAGGATGCAGCTGTATCTTATTTAGCCTTACTCAGGAACGTGAATCTGTCCCCTCTTACATCATCATCCTCCATCCCAGAGTAGAACGGAAAAACAACTGCAGAGCTAACAGGATGAGACTCCATATCCACTGATAATGTTCACACAAAATACCACACATGTAACACTTCAATTTTAAGTTCTGGCAACAATATTATCTTTAATAGTTGTAGGCATTGAGAACGTAGATTAATTATTTGGTTCTTGCCGGTCTTAAGCTGAATTAGGTCCCTTGCAACAAACAACATAATCACAGCACAACAAAAGCTTTCCAGAATAGAAACTGACTTCAGCGTGTGAAGTTGATCATACTGTGGTGAAGTATTTTCTTGAATAGAGTGTTACAGTGAAAAATTATACTATTATTATCTGAAAATATATTTTACTTTCTAGTATATATAGTACAACTTTTATTCTCATGGTACAAAAATATCCTGAAAACCCATGCTTGGAGCAGCCTTTTAAGAGCATATATATACACTGATGCCTGTGTAGCTCTTTATGAGTCTGTCTTTGTATGGTTGCATATATGTGTGTGTGTGTACCTTTGCATGAGATGCATGTATCTAAAAACTTTGCAATCTAGTTTGAAAGTTTTTGAAACTTAATTAAAATGGAATCCTTTGTTGTCAGTCAACAGGGTGCTTTAGAGAACTTTCATGCTTAAATCCATATTTAAATTGCAGTTGTGTCTAATTAAGATAAACTTGCTATAAGCTTTGTAACAACAGTGGTGTTGCTAATGTTTCCTTGTCACCACATTTATTTTGAAGATGTTATACCAATGGCATGGTTCCATACTTCATCTTTCTTTATTCTGGATGAAGATACATAAATTACAGTATAACAGCAGAAGATGGATAGGTTAAGCACACTTCAGTCTTAAATAGACAAACAGAAAACAAAGACAAACCTGAATGATTTTGGTGAGCTAAAGTTACATTGATAAAGTGATTTCCAGCTTCACACATCTGCAAGACATTAAAAACATATTTTCAGTTGCATACCTAAAATGCTGCAGTAACTGCGTTGCAGTGCATAACCAGAATCCCCCCCCCGTACAATTTAGTCTCTGCATCCAGAAAATACGTACTCCAGAATGTCTCTCCCATGGAAAATATATTTTGTAATCATTGTCAAACGCACAAGTGTCTAGTGAGCACCACGGGTGCAGCCTGGGATGAAAGCCCATGTTTCAGCTCTGCAGAGCTCAGCGCGGGCTGGCCTTCAGTGTGCTGCCCATGCCCAGCACGTGGAACACGCCTTGGTCTGGGGAGGTTTGAAAGGCTCCCTGGGGTCTAAGGAATTTAGCAAGATACTTTTCTGAACTGAACATCTTTGTCAGGATTTGGATTTAATCCAGGATGCGAAGAAGCAGGTGAAGTGTTGACCACTGGTTTTGTAAAGGTGCCACGAGTTAATATGCCTGCCCTCTTCCTACACACACTTTGAAAGGTGTTCATCGTAACACCTTTGTTATGCTGGTTACGGACCACAGCAACCAGTTCTCTAGGTAAGTCATAGAGGAAGGAAAAACAAGGTGAAGGAAATGGTGGTGGTTTTCTGAAGGGCAGACTGGTCCAACAGATAGTAGTCTGGACTTGATAAATGAAGGGAGCCAGTATTATTCCTGGTTCTGCTACTCTCTGCTTATGCTATTGCCACCCCTAACCAACCTCTCAAACTTGGTCTTTAATATTTAGGTGGTTCAAACCTTTGGAAGAGGTACTATGTCTCCCCACTTGCTTTTACAGCATGTAATACAAGGTGATTTCAGATTTGCTTGTGGCTTTCAGTACTTCAGCAATTACAACTACCGTAGAATCAAAACCAATCACTACCCATATTTAAAGTGGGAACTGGTAGGAAAACCAGTTACAATTCCTGAAAAAGAAAGCCTGTCAGTACAGCAATCTAATTTTATGTTTTTCATTTTTTCCCCTGCTTTATGAAGAAAAACAAAATGCTGTATACATTTCAATCTCAGACTGAATTGAAGTTCTGTATTAATTTCTGGGTTTGAAGACTGATTTCTCCTCTCAAATTGAAAATATTCAGTGTTAAAAAGTTCTGTTTTCTTATACCATTTGTCATTCTAAATTTTGCAAGGCTGGAAAAAAATTAAGAAATTAAAATAAAAAGGAAGAGTGCTAGAACCTGGAGACATAAAAGTGTAAAGTCACAAAATTAATACAGAAAGAAGGAAACACAATTGTAATTTTTTTAAGCCAATTGTGAAAATCATCCATAACAAAATTCAATTAAAACTAATTGAAAGGAATATATAACTTCATTTTATATTGAAATGTGCAATTATCTGAAAGAATATTGTAGATAGCATTGCTGAAGAATTTTCCCCTTTTTGTCAGAGAGATTTCTGTGGGCTTTGTTAGGAAATTTTAAATCAGTTCTATTAGCAAAGCTGTTATTCTGCATGTAGTCATGGGTCAAATCCTGCAGTCCTTTTATGTTTTTTAATTACAACTAACTGGCTGTCATCTATCATAAACACCAGATGTAAAACACTAAATAGCCAGAAAAGGAAATTCTATTATGAAATACCATATCAGAAGCTATAATTCTAGCCATAGCAATAGAAGTAATTTTAATTTACGTACTTCCAATTATGAGCTAGGAACGTGATTTTTTCTCATTACTATTATTTTAAAGAAAAAAATTTTGAAGTTAAAAGTGGTTTTGTCAAACACTATACATAAATGTGCAATGCTCATACTATTGTGGAGCAAAAGAGATTCACACACTGTAGTTAACACCTACTAATTCTATAATCAGTTCTAAGTAAAACAAGCAAAGGGCATTTCTGCAGGGATCTTTCACAGAATCATAGAACGGTTTGGGTTGGAAGGGACCTTAAAAACAATCTATTTCCAAACCCCCACTGCCATGTGGAAGGACACGTTCCAGTAAAGAATTTCTTCCTGATATCTAATCTAAATCTACCCTCTTTCAGTTTAAAACTGTTACCCCTCATCCTATCACTACACCCCCTGATAAAGAGTCCCTCCCCAGCTTCCCTGTACCCCCTTTCAGCACTGGGAGGCTGCTATAAGGTCTACCCAGAACCTTCTCTTGTCCAGGCTGAACAACCCCACCTCTCCCAGCCTGTCCTCATAAGGGACGTGCTCCAGCCCCCCGATCATCTTTGTGGCCTCTTCTGGACCCTCTCGAGCAGGTCCACATCTTTCTTATGTTGGGGGCCCCAGAGCTGGACACAGCACTGCTGGGGGGATCTCACGAGAGCAGAGTAGAGCAGAGGGGGAGAATCCCCTCCCTCGACCTGCTGGCCACATTTCTCTTGATGCAGCTCAGGACACAGTTGGCTTTCTGGGCTGCAAGTGCACATTGCTGGCTCATAGTCAGTTTTCCATCCACTAACACCACCAAGTCCTTCTCTACAGGGCTGCTCTCAATCCACTCATCATGATTTTTATTGGCTTCCCTTTGACTCTGCAGCTGCATTCCGCTGTAATTAGCTCTTATGTCCATCTTTAGAAATGTGGCTGCTAATGCTCTCAATGGAGAAGTACTGCTAAATGTAAGCTAGTCCTTAGTCAGTGTCTCAGATATAAAATAAGGGCCAGCAGGGAACAGCAGAAAAAAGGCTTACCATATTTATGATGATAAAATATTGACATCTACATACTGTTCCCCCTGTTTATATTCTATGCGTAACCTATGAGAAAAACATCCCTGCAAAGCTCAGAGCAGGTTCTCTAAATATGAGAATCTTTCAGAAGAGCCTGCTGACACCCTTCAAATTACTCAGTACTGTTGTTTACAGCAGCTGCAGATGTATACACTTAAATCAGGATATATAATAAAGACAAACCTTAAAAGAGGGGAAAAAAATGAAATCTTCCAAATATTTTATTCATATGTTTTAGAAACCTGTGAAAACAGCTTCAAATTATTTTTTGTATGTTGCTATTTTAAATCCATTGTCTGGGAACCTGCCAGAACAATGTCTGAAAGGAAAAGGTTTTGAGTTTCCATGGGTAGGAAGTTCTCAAAAGAGCTGCAAGAATTCAGACCACAGACCAGGTGTTGATGCAGCTCTGAAGGGGATGGCTATATTTTATAGCAAATACCCCCCAACAGGACTCATCCCTTTGCTTGATAGCAGCATTTTCCATAAAAGCTATAGCAGGGCATGTTACATTGAGGTGAGGAAGGATGTTCAATTAGAAAAGAAGGCTTTTTCTATGCAGAGATTTTGATGTGGATTAGTTTTACTGGTAGCACTGAGTATTCAGACAAGTGCTTTTCTTGGTTTCAGGTAACCTCTGAGCTTGGGAAGGGTGCAGACAGTGAGGTACTGGGTGCACCCTTGCGTACTGCTGCCACAACCTCCTGTCTCCGCAGTACAAGATTATTGCTTTCAGCAGTAGAGCCTCACTGAGTGCATGAACTTACTTCTTCATGTGAGTATTCTTCTTGTCTTTGCTATGCCTTCTTAGAGCAGGAAAAGCTGATAACAGCATGGCCAACCCTGGAGACAAACACTGACACAACTGTGATCTTTAAGGGTCCCAATTTACAAAAGCATTTCAATATTGTTAAGGAGTAGTTTGAATAGTGTTTGCCTTTTCTGAATAGTGTTTGCCTGAAGGAGCCTGGACACATTACTGTCCCATCTTCCTGTTATATTTCTGGAAACTGATCTGTATCTGATTTTCAAAGAGGCTGACTGTTTTGGCTACTGACCCATGCTCGCTTGGGTAAGTCAACACTTAACATTTCCAAGTCCAATGCCCACAGAAGATGGAAGACAATATACATTTCCATGTGAGAATTTCTTACTGAACTTCTGTCTCACTATATGGTTTTGTTAATTCAAACATCAGGTTCGGTAGTCTCAGCCATCCTTCATCACCTGCACTTTCCCATGGCTTAAACCACTTTAGTGGGGATTGGTTTTAGTAGCTATTGAGGTTAAGATATTCAGGGTACACAGTACTATTGAAAAGTCTGACTAGGTTGTAATTCTTCAGTATTATAATAATGGCAAGTTTCAATCTGTCTAAATATTAGTGTTTTTACACAACTATGAGTAGTAATAATGCTGATGGGGTTCTCATGGCTCTCAGATACAGTACTTCATGTTAAGCTCTGTATAGATAAATACTACTAGGAGACTTCCTGGCCTAGAAACGTTAATAGATTATCACTAAATCCAATCAAAGGGCACAGGGCTGTGGGTGTGTGTGTATATATATAGACAAACGTACAGCAGCATTACTGCATTTTGCTAAATGGTGAGTTACTCCTATTCCACAGTCATTAATAAAACTTTATTTTTGTACGTACCAGAAAAGCAAGGGCGGCAAAAGAAACTTGTCTGTGGCCAAAGGCTAGAAAATAGAATTAAATTATAAATTGTATTTTAAGGTATGCACAAGGTTTGCTATGAGTGAAATTTATCTAGTGGGGAGGAGCAGAAATACTTCTTTCCTCAGAGGCTCTGCAGAATGACTATTATCAAATGCAGTATGAAGACAACACAAATAGTAACAGCACTCAAGAAATGCCAGTCTCTTTACTGTCCTCAAGGCAGTTTTCACCTAGCTTTTTTCTAGTATCTGCCAGCTTCATATGTCCAAGTGCTTTGTCAAAGCAGGTGGTGGTGTCAAATTGCTTGGAAAGGCAAGGGTGGGGATGAAGTGAAGGTCAGCGGCAGACCCAGGCCAGGAATCACAGCCTTATCCATAAGCCCTTCTACCTCCATGAGCAAAGAACACAGACATAAGCTATAGAGTACTTTTTTTTTTTCTTTTTCAGTAGTGAGGCTTTTATATAGAGCCACTGTCTGCTTCACAGCCTTACCATGCAAGAAATATATTTAGCTTTTACAATTTTTACCTGGCCTTTGACTGCTCTCTTCTTTTTGCTATTGTCTGCAGACCATTGGAGTACTGTGTCATGTTCATCTCCAAAGGTTTACAGTTCTCAGCCGGTCATGGGTGAGGGACACAAACCACATGTATGTACCTCACTTCCCTGACCAAGTCTCATCAAACCTTTACTTTTGAGAACCCTTTTTCTCAGGTTGGCACATGACTCCTCTGTGGTGCCAAGGGCATGTGCTAAAACTCCTCAGAACAACCACACATGTCAACATCTGAGTATGGAGCTGCTAAGTAGATGTTCTTCATGGCAACTTTGTCAGCCTGGTTTAATTTATCACTCCTGAGCAGCATTCTGCAACTACCTGGTTGCCTTTTCTTAGCTGTCCCCAAACCAGTCATCTCTGGATATGGCTGTAGAGGTCACCTGTTCCTTCATCTAAAATAAACCATCAGTGTTTTACTGATCCAGCTAACCATGCCTTGGTGCTGGTGATCTCCAGCATTACACCTATAATTTTAATTTTAAGGGAGTGGCAACCAATTAGAAGTACTTCTGAATGCCTTTGCTGTTGGAAAGCTTTGTCTTGAACAAATGGTTTCCTCTGTAAAGAAGCTGCACCTACTGATTTGATAGCCCAGACTGCTAAAAGTTATGTCTAGGGAGGTTTCAATACTGTTTTCAGCATTACTGTTAAAGCCACACCAAATTCAACTGTCTTTCAACGAACCACATAATTCTGAAACAGAACTTTTGTGTTATTTTGAAAGGAAAGCAAATGCCATGTAGGAGAAATTTTTGATTGAAAAAAATTAGTAATTTAAGTGTAAATAAAAATGACAAAGCAAAACCTTTGTTCCTAAAGCTCATAGATAGGTAGAAGATGCATAGGAAAAGAAAGACTAAGGCATAGCAGGGAAAATAAAATAGTAGGAAACAAAACTTATGTCAGTTATGCTCAAAAGAAGCAAAAGTTCAAAGAGTAAACAAGAAGAAAAAAAATATGAAGAAACAGCAGTGCAACAATAAAATACCATGAGAGGGAACAAATGATGAATGAAATATGGAAGCAAAAAGCAGGAATTTTTTTCATTATTATCAGCAGTATCTGATTGACTTTTACTGGTTTCTCACAAAAAAAAAATCTTAATTTTTATGAAAAGGATGTATCTTTACAAATAAATCTCTCCTCCAAGAAAATGCAGCTAGCTCTAGTTCTCTCCTGCTTTTTTAGCACAAATATTATGAAGATGAGCAAAATATATAGATCTTTGTGTTTTCTCCAGTTGGTCAATATTTCCAGTTCATAAAACTGGACAGCAATTGTCCATCACTGAACAGGGATGTACACTCAGTGGCACAGCAGGAGTGCGTCCCGCACAATTATCTTCCTTCTGACACAGACTAAAGTCTAATCTCTGACTAGGTTAGTCATATGATCTCATGTGGGGGCTATCTATTGATTTTGGAGGACTTAAGTTTGCATACCAAAAATTTTTTAAAACCAAGGTCAGTTTTGTGTTCTATTTATACATACATGGAGGTGTATATCGTGGATGGTTGATGTAGTATGCAATCCAGGAAGTGAATCCCCAGTAAAAGGCACAGCCCTGGAACAGAAAAAGATACATTTTTTTTGTTAGAAAGGGCAATAAGCAAGTACAAACCATAACTTTATAAATATAAATTCTGGTAAGTTCAAAACCCAGATGACCACTGAGAGACTTCACAGTAGCTTCTTGAGTCACACAATATAGATCTTTTTAAGATGTTATGAAGCCACTAAAAAAAAAAGATAAAAGGACATACAGTGTAGATTTTTTTGATTGTGTTGAATATATTTTATTCTTCTTGTAGGGACTAACATTTGTTTTCTCCTCATTTGATTCTACTGCTGAAGGGCACATTTCTCTGACTTGTACTATTAAAAGTCTCAGGCTGGTTAACACAGCTGACTTACTATACCTTAAAGTCAGCATTTCCAAGCAAGGTAGAACTAGCCAAACAGAATGTTAAGCCAGCTGAGGAAAGAAAAGTAAAACTAAATAGGCCTGGTTTAATCCTAGCAAAAAAAAAAAAAAAAGCACACAGTTCCTGTAAAGATATTTGAGCTATGCACTGCATCTACCCCCATGGATTCAGTCCCACTTCATCCTCTTATTTAAAAGGGGCACCCCAGCTGCCTTTACTCGGTGACAGAAGACGTAGGCTTGGGAAAGCCCAAGCAGAGGTAATGTGATCATGTTCTTGCCCTGTGTAAGGGTCACTGCTCCCATTATTTGTACGAGGAAAAAACAAAACCCACCAGCCAAACAACAGAAACCACCCTGGAGACTGGTTAAAGCCTTTCTATGCGTCTAGGCTAAAGGTCCTGTGCTCAGTACCTTCTCAGGAAGAGCAGTATCCTGGGACTGGCTACAGCTCCATCCCATAAGTAGGGCTGCAAGTCAGACTTTCTCTTTTTAAACTTTTTGTGTGGTGCCATTGTGGGATAGGTACCACAAGCACAAGGGGACCTCAGTAACTGTGGGTCTTTAACTCCCACATGCATGAATCACTTTGGAGGTGGCACTCTGGATCCACAGTCGTTTAGCTTATATTCTTTTGTTTTGTTTTGTTTTATTTTTTTTTTAAACACTGTGTATTGTAAAACAACATCTTTAGCTGTGCATCTCATTACCTCCTTTCTGACTAGAATCATGTCGAGCCCCCTGTCATGGTCATACACTTATCTCCTTCACTAAAATCTTAAATGTATCACAAAAGTTTTAAAGGGAAGGTCTTTACATCACACTGAATGGGATGGGGCATGGGGTGATACAAAATAACTGAGTCTGTGTAAGCGAAATAAAAGAAAGGAGAGCCTATGAGTAATGACTCACAGTTGAAATTCAGGAGACTTTGGGACTCAGAATACTTTAGGCTCCCTCAGTATCTTCCTTCCTGAGGCCTCCACCTATAGAAGGAGATTTTTGGGTTTTTTCTATTTGTAATTTGATTTTAGCTTCTTAATGCAAGGTCTGTCTCTTGTTTTATATTTATATTGCACTGAGGAAGTGGAATGTGATTTCTGTCAGCATTGCTAGATGTTGCAGCAGCATATCGCATAATAAAATAGCATTCAGTCTGAAAAATATCCTGGACATGACAATCAGCCCCTTGCGTGGATGAGTTAAAGTGGACATTGACATGCAGGAGCTAAAATGGACATTGGTTTCAGTTCATGTCCTTGGAGACATGGCCCTGAAACTCTTCCTATATTTGTATTTTGACTAATCATAATTCCTGGAGCTAGAAAATAAATTATTTTTTATTTTCCTATCTTCTTCCAAGGACTGCTTTGATATGAGGATATTCTCTCTTACACAAAATGATAAACATATTGTCACCTTTATCATATTTTTCAGAGGAGTATGCCCTCCTGAAAACTTGTGAACAAATAATGTCTCCAGAAGATGTCTGATGTAATGTAAGCAATGGCAGAAGCAGGCCAAGCTGGAAGGAAAAAAAAAAAAAAAGGAAATTAAGGTAAGATTGCTTTTTATTACTTCACAATTTAATGTCACAAAAGGAATAAGGACTAATATTCCAAAACTGCAGAGTCACACTGAAATCGTGGGATTTAAGATATTGTCTTAATTGAAGCATCTGGAACCAAAGATTAATGGAATCATTTTCAGTGTTATACAAAGTTGCTTTCATTTTGCAGGGAAGCAACTTATTTTTACTAGCCTTGAATTAAAAAGAGCTCCTCACACTCTGAATGTGATACATAGCCCTGCCAAGACATTAAAACAGGACAGCTGTGTATACAAGCAGGCGTCTGCTGTGCTTTTCCAAAAGACATCTCCCATGTTTCAAGGCCACCTTAATGCTCCTGTAGGATGTGTCTGACATTTAAAAACATTTGGGATATCTTCTGAATGGTTTCCTTGTCCTATGCCAACTCAAGTAGCTGCATGGAGGTAGTCTGTATTTCACTTCCCTGTGGACGCAAAATGAGATTTTGTTGCAAAATTAATCCATTCTGATGACTTTTTTGTTGCCTGTTACAAAGAAACGAGGTAATTGTTGTAGAAATTATTATACTGATTCTCTTTTGAGGAAGATTATGAAACAATAACAGGCGTTGCTGATTTGCTTCTGAGAATGAGTTGCAGCTCATAGAGATTGAGTTTCAAAAACAAATGTCAAGAGTGATTCCTGGTGGCATTTTATCTTGGTTACATATACCGTACTACCAGAGCCCATCTCACTGCAAACCAATTATAAGACAAATGAAAAGTGGTTTTCAGCATATGAAATCTCAAATACTTTTATTATGCATCTTGTATGGTAGCCAGAGTCAAAGATTAAACAATTTCAAAGTAATTAAACCAGAGAGAGTTGAGCTAAGAAAATTTCAAACAATTAACGACTTATCCAGAGTCTGGAGCAAACTTCCAGCATTGCTGGGAATTTTACAATTAATTTGGATTAGGATGGGGATCTTGGATAAACCTGTTAAGGAGTGGTCATTAGAAGGATTCTGCACACCCCTTGACCACTTAAAAGAAGATAAAGGTACTGCTGGCTCTTCTGTGCTACCAGAAACTCTCTCCTTTCAAGTGTATGAGCAACAGAAGGAAATCAAACATCTTGCAGCTCTGGATTTGAATTCAACTATTCTGTGTTCTCATTCCCAGCTCCACTAACCCCCTTAATGTCTCTCCAAGCCTCTGTTCCTCCATCTGTAAATGATATTATTACTCACTGTGTTTCTGTGTTGTATACCAGCTCTCTTGATTCTGCAGTCATAGTGTGGAAGAAGTGCTGTGGGGAAGCTGTACAGTTCCTTGAGGCCACTCGTTCCCTGTGTGCCCTCCCGGTACCAGTGCTCCAACTTATGCAGCCGACAGGCTTTCCTTGATGGCATTCCACCCCTCTTGCCAGGCACTAATCCCCCAGAATGGGGACAGTCACACTGAAGAGAAGTAAGTTCCTTAAGTGTGAAAGTTACCAGCTTGCCTGGTGCATTAATCACCATCCTGTGGAGGGGTACAGTTGGTGGTGGCAGTGCCTTGAGCCTCCCTGGCAGCTACTGTGTTCAGCTGCTTGCCACTTTCTTGTCTGTAACAGTTCTTAATCCCTCCCACTGATCAGGTCCCCTTTGTTTCTCCCAGAGTCCTTCAAAAGGATTTGGAATAGCAGGGGCTGTCAAATGTCGTAAAAAGCTATCTTGGTTGGCTGTCCTCTCTTCATTGCTTTTTTGCATGCTCTTGAGTTCTAGCAGACTAAGCAGGTAGCATTTCCTTGTGTTCAGCTCCTTCTGTACTGTACTGGAACTGTTTAGTTTTCCTTGTTAGCGTTACTGTTCCGGTGATGGAGAGAAGCAAAGCTATCTGGTTCATGTTTATATATGAGATTCTCTGATTTGTTTCTGCACAGCTAGACACAACCTGTGCTCTTTGCTGTTCTATAACAGTGGCTGAGCTCTTATTTTTGTTTGTCAATTAAGTGTCATTTCTTAAAAGTCTTTCAGAACTCAAATATGTTGCATATGGCCCTGGGAACAATTACAATCTGAAGAGGTTTATTTAAAAAATCAGATTACCAGTTTTGAATTCCTATGGTATGGTGCTTCTGAGTTTCTCAGTTGTTCTTGGCCTGACTCATGACATGCAGACCTCTTGAAATTCCTCCCTGTTGTGCCTAGGTAAGCACCAGTGTGGAGGTAGTTATCTTCTGTGCTGGGTGCTCATCTTACGAATGGGAATGCACCCTAAAGAGACTGAGAGTGGGACATGTGATGTTTTGTCCTCTCTTCTCTGTCTTCTCTGCCAAGTGTGACTTTGGGTTACTACCCACTGTGTTTATTATTTCACTTTCTGCTCAGTCTGTGTGTCTAGAGGGCAAATTATTTGGGGAAAATACTACATCTTCCATTGTGACCAAGTGCAGTGGCCATTGCAACAGGGATCCCATTTTTGGTCAGGCGTGCGTACTGCTAAAATGCCAAACCACTATTGGTAAGAACAATCTGAAGCTCCCACTGACTCTGAGACCAGGCATGCAGCCTCACACCCCCTGTAACCTCCTCAGCCCTGGAAATGCAGTCTCCATCCCTCTGGCTCCCTGTCCTCCAGGAAAATAGTTCATGCAAATGTCACTCACTGGACCACTGGGTGGCGGAAGCTCTTCGCACTTTCCACTCGGTCATAAATCGTTGAGAGGCGAATGTAAAAGAGCAGATATATTAGAAGAGGCCCGGTGTATTCTGTTAGAAAAAACTGGAAATTAAAAAGAAAATAGCTGTATCAGAGTAGGAAATTGTACCAATAAAGGCATCAGAAGAAAAAATACCCCTATCCACAAAACCTATTCATCCTTCAAATGTCATTTTGGCTTCATTTTGAGGAATTAAATGACATGTTGTGTTTTTTCTGCTGTCTCTTTAGCAAAAGTGTAAAATCCATCTAGGAAATGAGAGAGAGGTTTCCATGCAGAACATTAACTCAGTCAGGAATGCTTCATGGAAGGTGGTCAAAATCACAGTTATCTCCTCTTTATACTTTTGGATGTGCCATCAGATACCTATTTGGAATCTAAACAACACTGAAAATCAAGATCCAGAAGCTGAAGGCAGTTTGCTTTCTGCCATTTTCTTTTTTTTTTTTTTTTTGCAATTAAGTGATACATCAGTCAAAGCCAACCAAGCACGACAGAAACAAACACAGCTTTGAATCCTGGTTGCTAGCAGAGTCATCTGGAAGGGAGGGATCATTGCTCGAGATTTGGTGTAGGCTGGAAGAGCAGGACCTGCCTGCCCTGCCTATTGTATGGTGCTTTGAGGCTTTGTTCAGTGACTGAGTGGGGCTCCTCCCTGTGCAGGCATCAGCAGAAGTAGCCTGTGGTAGGCAGACTGGGCAAGTAAGTTACCCTGTAAAACAGAAAGAAATAATTTAATCTCCTCACTGTAACCCCTGCTAGCCACAGGGAGGACATATGGGAGCAGGGAGAAAAGACGGAGTTATAGCACTGCCAGGAGCCACCCTTAGTTTTACATTCTGGCTTTGATTTGGTGCAGTCTGTATTGCCTTTTGTCAGGGCACACTCTTAAGCTACAAACAGTTGGAGGAACATGGTTAGAGTGATGTGAGTTCTGGATTTGATCACCTGTCCCTGCTGGAATGAATCTCAGAATAAGATGGAAATGGTGTAGTTCTACATGTTTACAAGGACCAGCAACTGGCAAATCATAACTCAAGTGCGTAGTATTGCTTAAGGGATAAAAAATCATAACTAATGAGCAGTTTGGCTTTTAAGGTGGCTATTTGCACTGCTATAGAATTGTATATGGATAAATACCTGTGGTTTAAGGAAGCAGCACTGAATTTAGATTACCTTTCTCAAAAGTAGTATTTGTCAGGCAGTCTGATCCCCAGTGGGCTGTTCTTCTAATCGCTCTTCAGAAGAGCTTTGAAAGAGAAAGATTTTCTTGAAGAAATATTCTGCAGCTAGGCTTCCTTCATTCGGGACCCCTCGTAGCATTTCTTTTCCTCTATTACAGGGGGAAACTTTTTGAAATTTCAGCCTTTCATAGCAGGACTGTGTCCAAAAAAAAAAACAGACTTAAGTGTTCTCTACCAGGGAAATGTCAAATTCTCTTTTGTTCTACATGACACCGTGATTTCTGTGCTCCATTTAGACTCTGCATGATCCCTAGAGGAGTTGTGTGTGTGTGTATGAAAACATTTAATCAGAGTGTCTAAGAGCCCACACTGTTGTGGAACACACCACTGCCAAGGGTTTATTAGAGTTTTGTCCTAATAGCAGTTGTATGGGTCTATTCCTAACTGCGAGTCCACTGTGTTAGGCACTCTGCAAACACTATAAGACACGCTATTAAAACCTAATACACTAAATATAGACAACGGTGGTATAGGAGACAGAGGTGCAGACAATATGGTCTGGGCAGGTAGGTGTAAGAGCTTGGAATGTGCTGCTTGCTTCAGTGTAGCTTTTCCTCTCAGCCATGAGTCACAACAAAAAATACACCTGTAACTTCCAGCTTTTATCATCTGTTTGGCATGAGCATATTATAAAGCTGCCAGGAAAAGTTTGGCAGGAATTAGCACCAAGTTGTGGTTAGTTGTCACTGCACCAAGTGTTCCCCTCTTACCCTCTGGCTGATTTTAGATGCTGGAAGGAGAAGGAAAGCTTCAGGATTTAGTGAAAAAATTCAGTCTCTATTTAGCAGCCAAAGCTACCAGCCACCTGATACCTGAATCCTTGTGACTAGGTGAGGAAGTGTTTTTGCTGTAGGAGGTGGGATGCAGAGCCTCCCACCAGAGCAATTCATATAAGCAGCAGAGAACACCAACAGCAGCTCTTGAGCTGGGGTTTGTGGAGGTGAGCAGCATCAGCACGCTCAGGGCACTTTACAGGCTGGGGACAAGGTCTCTTCTAATCTGTGTGTCAGTCACATTCGACAAGGCATTAGTCACCCGTGCGGAGGCAGGCTGTCCTTGGTCAGCTCTGAGATTTGCAATCAAGCAGGTATTGTCTGGCAGGCAGGACTGAATTTGACTTTGTCATAACTGCATCACACTGCTGGAACATAGTTAAGATCAGTAGCATTCTGTTTTAGAGGACGAGGTTCAATTTGCTGCAGTGTTTTGGGGGGTTTTTTTAACATTTTGGGTGAGTTTCAGTCTGTTTCCCTCTGTTGCATCTCCCAAGCTGCAACTTCTGCTCTCCTTTTCTGGCCCACTGATTTTAAATTAATGAGAAATGAAAAGTGAGTTCCAGAAAGGCAGGCAGAGAAGCTCTGCTAAAAATCCCACAAGTTCAAGCAGGTGGAAAAGAAAGTGTCTTAAATTAACACAAAATTACAATCAGTTCTAACCATTGGCAATCAAAGGCAAGCACCATTCTTTTACTATTGATTCTCAATGCATATATGCAATTAAGCCTACCTAGTATCTTCATACTCATCCTATAGCTGACTAATTGCTGGGCTCGGGGAGTTATTAGATGTGTTAAGGATCAGCTCAACCTATCATTTTTACAGATGCTCAAAAAGCCTACAAAATTACTAAGATACTAGTTCCTGCTGACTTGTCATGCAAAAATAATAACCAAATTTTAAACAAAACCCCCAAAATAATAACATCTTAGCTTATAGTTTCTGGGCAAAAGAAATACCATTTTTTAGAAAAACAGAAGAGTGATCATTTAAAACACAGTGCATTTTTTTTTCTGTAGAAATGTAAAAAAAAAAAAATCCAGTATTTAGAAGAAAATTACTTTATCATTTTGTGGGCCCACCTAGATTATTTTGGTGTATTTGGTGCAGCCAAATATGGTGGTTCACAGTAAACACAAAGCTCTTTTCCGGGAAGAGCATTCCATTTCTACTACAATGTGCATAGCTCAACTGAATTTAACTGTTGAGCTCATCATTAAGTCCCTGAATTAAAAAAACAGGAGATTAGCCCTTTTTTTCCACATCTGTACACTCTATTTCATACCTTGCATAGTGTTCAGTTCTCTAAGCTTCCTTCTCTCCAGTGTCTGGCATTATATACTCTATATACCTCTTACTCTCAGTGGCATAGAAAAAGTGCTACTCTTGAATCAAACCTTTCCCAGTCATGAGCTCCATACAGGGTGCTAAACTCAAGCTTCTTTAACTGTCTTAATTATCAGGTCCTTGGGGACCTGATTCAGTAGTACCTAAACTGGAAACATCTAATACATAAACAACAAAACAGAGATCTGGAATATGCAAAAGAGAGTTAAGGTAGGAGCTTCCATCATTCAAGAGATGGTGAGGCAAATTGGAAAACAATGTAGGATATCTAATTCACAGACCAGCAAGGCATCTCATTTTGCATGAGCCAGGTTGTACCTTCTTCTTTTATCTCTGTTCAGATGATTATGTCAGTAACACCTTGCTGAACTGAGTAACAACCAGGTCAGGAATTATAATCCTAGACCTTATGAGGCATAGGGAATATTTAGGGAGATATGAATGCACCAAAGGTGAAAGGAACTCTTTCTTTCATTATTTGAGGGAATGTGAGGTGAATTTTTTGGCTGGTAGGGGCAGCTGGCACAGTGCCTGGCACCATCCCAACAGGTCTACTACAGGGAATGGAAAGGTTTTTGAAATGAGTTAATAGTACCTTGTGTACTGGTTGGGAAAAGGAAGCTATAAACAGAGGGGGTGGAGTGGAGGAGTCTGAAAAAGTCCAACAATCTTTCTAAATGAACAGCCCACGAATTAGCAATCTTCACATGAGGGCATCAGCTAATTCCTCTCTAATGTTTATGACATGCCCTTTCTGCAATACCACACAACACACCCTATCTTGTATCACATTGCCTTTTGGCATAGTCTCACATTATCTCATTTATGACAAGCTGCAGAGGAGAGCTGAGGAAAGGCCATACAGCCTTTTCCATACTGATGCCTTCCTGCAGCTCTTTCCATGCCATGTAGGGGTAGTTTCCCAGTTCACTGGTGCTGGTCATGATGTTTTCTCTGCTACTGCCAACGGGATGTCTGGGTTCAAGCAGGGGAAGCGAAGGACATGGTATGAGGATAATACCTGCAGCCAGGACAATGACTTTGGGCCATCGCCAGAGGCTCTCAGCACAGCAAGAGATACAGAATAGCTCAAGCACGTCCTGGGCAACGTTGATGGAAAAGCAGCTGCAGTATATAAATTATCTAATGGACAGAGCTTAGTTTCTCTGATAAATGTGAGACAAAGGCACTAGTTGCGGGTCTGAGCCTGGGTCGGGCTGAGACAGTGCGTACCGCATGAAGAGAAGGATCCATTCATATCAGACAGACCATTACCATGTGTGAGTGTACAGAATGCAGCTGGGATTTCTGAGAAACCCAAGAGAAACAGGCAGTTGAACCTTCCCAAGCTCCCAAATCCCATTAAACTTAGCATCTAACTACTTTAGACTCCTTTTAAATCCCAGCCCTAAGTACTCTTGAGCTAATAATCATTAAAAAACATTATTAATTTCTGGACTAATTTCTACTTCACATGCTTTGCTACCTCATTAAAGGCCATATAATTACCTGGGGATGATAATGGCACAATTTTAGCAGCATCTCTAAATCTTTATTTTTTTAAAATTTTTTGTATTTTCTTGTTTGCAAAAATCCACAGCACCTGAAGTTTTGCATCAGGTAGCGCAATTCTAAGGGCTGCTTGAATATTCAATGATTTTTGTTCCAGTTCTCATGGAACATGCTAATCCATTC